TATAACAAAAGTTTTTTAGAAATGTAGCCTATTTTAGAGCTACCCCAGTTTAAGCTCCAATTTAATTTCAGAGTGGCCTACCTGATGTGAAACCAAATGGGCCTATATTTTGAAGCTTTTTCGTTTATAATTTATTCGCAATTTGATTATGTTTATGTGAACTGGACATATGCAATGTACAAATAACAGACTGAAGACGTGAGCTAAAGGGGCGCTTCCAACCTTTCTCCACAAGATGGCGTAACTCGCCTATGAGATCAACGAGCACGTACGAAAAGCGCTTTCATCTATTTGAACACGGTTGATATGATCTGGTTTGTGACTGCATTCACATATTTTATGTGTAACCCATTCTACTGTTTAAAGCAGAAGTGAATCCCATTTTTGGCTATGCAACACTTTGAACTCAGACGTTTTGAAAGTATGTATTTATATAAAATTATTGTTTTTACCTAACTTTATATAAACACACATTTGTTTCCCCCCCACGAATTTGTAAAAAAAAAAAAATTTAATCTAAATAAATATATTAAAAAGTTCAACTATGTTACTGATTAATATAGGTACGCCTACCTAGGTCTGTAAGACAAGGCCGTGCTCTCTCTCTGGAGGCCTAGGCTATATGTCTTCACGTAGCCTATTCTTTTTTAGGCGTTTTAGCAAGACAAGTGTCTGTAAATTAGTTCTAGATATTGCATTTTAGTTCTATAGCTTTTTATAGTAAAGGAAAGATTTGAGTAAATACATATTTTTCCTTATCCTTATGACTGTGGGTAAAAACGCCAACTAAATAATGTGCGACCAAGACACCAGCAGCTAACATGACATCTGTTTAAATGCTTTCATGCTAATACACTCCTCTCGAATGGCGTCTTTGTTAGTGCGTCAAAGATTATTTACAGAATGAGTCAATTGCTAAATGGTTTCATGATTGTTGAGCGGAATCGCCGTAGGAGGCGGTTAGGACTATTGGAGGCTGTGAGGTCGAGCTCTGGCGCGCAGCGGGGCTCCAGTAGGAGCGGCGTTAATTGAGGAGGCAGAGTCGAGGCGGGCCAGTAGAGCACGGGAGCGCGAAGAGCTGGGGCAGGGGATGCTTCTTGGAGCTGAGCGTATTGTTTAGATGTATAAAATATGAGACCAACATTTCTCATTCCTATCCCCTCTTTTTCTCGAAAATAGATCTTTCACGATGTCTATTGGCCTCAACTAGTCAACCTAGACTCACATTATTACTATTTTTCTGTTATTGTTGTGGATATTTGTTTTGTATTTGTCATATCTCATCGATTTTGTCTTTATGTGCACATATATCATAGCCTTTTGTATAAATTGCCCTTCTTCACTGAATCATACGTGGCTATGCAGAGAGCTGTCCAGAGACGAAAATGTGTTAGATTATGGATAAGGCCGCATATTAGGCTGTTAGCTTATTATTATATGGGCTAATTAATGTTGTTTTAGTAGGCCTACAATAGTGATGACAGTACGCGAAGTGTACTTTATTAAGGGCTTTTGTTATATGAACATATTGCATTACAAATGAATAATGTAATATGTATTTTAACCTATGAATTCAACTAGCTTGATACTAATTTAAAAACACAATAAATTACAATAAATGTTTTTTTGTTTTTTTTTTACATTGTATTTTGCTTTTTTCATATGACGCACTGATATGCACTGACGCACCTATCTGTTGGGCTACTTGTTTTCATTTGGGTTAGAAGGTAAATGCAGGTGAATATATTTCTCGTAGTTATATGTTGTCTCCAGTAGGCCTATCTGTAAGAGACGCATGTCTGCTCACTCATCACCCACCCACATGTGAGAATGTTTCGGGAGAGACTTGAGTTTTCAGACTTATGAAACTTTGCAAGGTGTTGTAGTGAAACAAAATCTGAATATTTCTAGTTTTTCCACAGTTCATAGGATCTCATCCGAATGAACCTTCAAACGGGCTCTTACACTCTGATCTTACTGCTGATCCTGTATCATAGCCTCTCGTGACCTCTAAATTACTCTGTAATAGAATTACAGTTTTTAATCCTGCTTGCCAGAACGCCTCATCACAGGCTGCTGGGTCGAGAACAACACTTGCGGTACTCCTTTCAAAAAATGAATGCAGTCACATATGTTTATGAAATTTGTAATTGTTAATCGACTTCACAAAATGAACGTCATTGGTAACTCGTGTACTGTCTATCAAAAATAATGTGCCTGTCTCTCCAAAGCCAAGTAGTTTTTCAGATCAAGGTATTGCTCGTATTACAGTTTTGAACGATGGCGGGAAAAGGATAGACACCAGTAGTCGGTCATAATAAGTAGCCTATAGAATTTATACGAATTTTCAACAATAGGCTGCCAGGTAAAATAATAAGTCTAATGAAGTGATGTAACATAACATTTCAGATGTGAGAAGTTTTAATAATGAATCTTTTAAAATATATAATTATTTCAGAAGCAGCTAAAGATGTAGCCTATATACAGTGAGGTTGGAAATTCCCGTCAACGTGTTTTTTATTATTATTATTATGTGTCGCATTTTAGGCTACGTTATTTGAAACTGCTTTAAAAAAAAAACTTATATATTTATAATTTTTTATTATTATTATTGATTGATTTATTACCCCATTATGCTCATAACATCAATAATAAAAGTAGGCCTACTCTATAAAATAAAATGATCATTAAATGTGTATAATAAAAATAATCATGTGAATCATGAATTTAAATTTTAATAACTCGTTTGGATGATGTTTGTTTGTTTGTCTGTTTATTTACTTATTTATTTATTGGGCATTTAGCCGACCGTTGTCATCCTATCATCTGCCCAATGCACAGCTTGCCACAATCGCGATAGCATGCTAATTCACGGTTCGGATTTTAGCTTCACGTACCTTGTTCTGTGTGTTTTTTTTTTTTTTTTGTGAGAAGGGTACTGTTTCGGGAGGCAAAAGGCCCAGTCTTGCCAAGAGTGGTTGCACTGACAGGCTATGCCGAGGCTCCACGCTTTCAATCCGGGTCAGAGGGAACTGACGCTCATTGAGAACTGCATGAATACACACGAATAGAAAAGTTGTGTTCAGTTAACCGATGAAATCAGAGAAAAAACAGGGCTGTACAATCTTTTCTTATTGCCGTCTGCGGTCCAGTTGTGTTCATTTGTCTCTATGCGACGAAGGTTATGGGAACAGGACAAAAAATCTATTCTGCCTTTTTGACACCCTCGCCAGTGATGATAGTAGGCCTATACACAGGCTTCGGGACTGGATGTGTATGAAAATGTTATGTAGGCCTATTGTTGCCGTTGTCACGTACTTATATTCTGTAGATTACTTCGTGTATTCACATTGCAAGGGAAAAAATATCTGAAATTGTGTAACTGAATTATTAGACACTTTATAGGTAGCTACAGCAAGAGTTTAAGAGAGCAGTCTCTTTGCAGCTCTGCGCAAAGTCTGTAGGCATGGGGCCACAAAATTTCAAGATACGTTGCTGGCAAATTACTTTTTTATCTTTTATTATTATTATTATTATTATTTATCAATATCTTATGATAGCTATATGAAATATAAAAGTCAGTTTAATGCAAGAAGTGATTCTCGTAAATTAATTTCCTCCATCACACACAAATGACAAACGCGCTGTTTACCACCTGTTTATCTTATTCTCAAATGGCAGTATTGATATTACAGTTTAAAAGAAAACTGTTGTTCTCATAACCAATTTATCAATACTAAACATATTTGAGACGAATATCTGCCAATAAATTAATGTAGTCTGAATGATAAAGATCACTGTGAAGTGATTTGAGAGCTCTAGCCAGTGATAGTCTGTCCGTCCACTGCAGATGAACCACTGCAGAGGTCAAAAGTAGTCTCTCGCGATCAACTAAATGAATGCAAATCAAAGGATTCTTTATTTAAGAGCGTTTGTGTAATCAAGTGTCATTAGGATCAATGGGTATTTCCTACTGTCGCGCAGATTTAGACTTGAGAGGACGTACAAGGCATAAACAATGCGCCCTACATAATTATGAACATGAGTGAAATAATAAACGCAGCATTATTTAGCATTGCCGGTTGTGAGCTGAAAGTTTCGTCTAGTCTTTATGTTATCTGTCGTGAAACCGACACACATGAATGGGAGGAATAGAGAGCGACGATAAGGGGCAAACGTAATAGGTATATAGGCTAAACAAATCAATTTATAAAACAAGGACGTCTTAACTAATTAAAAAACAATTAGTTTTCTTGTTACAAATATCTAAACTCATCTTTAATAATATTCATTACATCGACAAATTAAACAAGCTGATTAGGTTATTTGTCACATCTACAAGCTGTTCCTCTATTTGTGGCTGCTAAATTAGAAGTGTGCCAAATAGGAGACGCACGAAGTTAGGATATGTAGATTTACAACGTTATATTGTTTAGTGCATGACTATCCTCTATAAAATGTACCCATAGTAGCCTATATTTTACGTCAACAAACTGTTTGTGTTTGTTAAAGTGCGCTGAAAAAAATTCTGGAGCAAACTAACTAAACTTCCAAAGGAAGTGCTTGGTACGGTTTTCTGTTTGTGTATGCGAGTTAGGACTGCTCGCCCAGAGGGAGCTTTCTCCTTGCATAGCTCAATTTTGAAAGAAACGCCGTTTCGTTGACTACAATGGGACACTGGGCCAGGGGAGGAGTCCTCCATGATTAGTGAATTTAATGGCGCCTTCACTTAATTTTTGCATTGTAGCCACTGGCTATTAACAAAAATACAAAAAAAGACGAATGTTCGCCATCACCGCGAATTTTATGTTTAAAAACCTTTCTGTAGGCCTACTACAAATTGTGTTTGTTGAAGAATTGTGTTGCATATGTTACACTGCTGATCAACTTATTTCATGCTCTCCGTAAATTGGAGAGAAAACTACTAGAATGTTGTTGTATAGAAATTAGAAAATGTTTTGTGGAAATGACACACATAATGCAGTTTTATAACAAAATTGAATACTGTATTTTCAGTTTAGAAACGTATACATTAACAGAAACACGCAAGAAAGTAACATTGAATTATAAGCGCTGGACTGGAAACATGAAATAGACTTGGTCAGTCGATGATGATATCCAATATTTTGTCTTTTGCATTAATCTCGACTGATAATTCATGGTCCCTAGCGTTCTTTTCATGGCATAAAACAGAGAAACAAAACGCCTAGAGCACGTTTACGTTTTGACGAATAGTTTATGTAGGGACACCAAGCCAAGAAAAGTGAACAGGGATAGAAAAGAGAATGGGTATAGCAATATTATTTACAGACTTATTTCTACACATATATTACAGACTGGGAGAATGGTCGCATTATTTAAGATATACATAATTCAATATAAAATCTCGAAATAAAAATAAAAATCTGATACAGTCATAACGATTCATTTCCAGTTTGACCAGTACCCCACACAGGCAGTGACAGAAGTGTAGTAAAAAGGTGCTTACGACTCAAATGATTGTCTGATGAACAAAAAGGAAAAGAGGATTGCATCTTGGCTGCTCGTCGTCACTCGGACTAAAACAGAAAAAAAGGCGATGGACACCGGTTCCTGGTAATTCCCTCTTCACGGTGGTCCTGGTAGACATAAACGTGGGGCATTTCCCCATATACAAAAAAGAAAAAAATATATATATTTAGATATATATAATCATGCAAGTGATGGGGTGGGGAAAGGTGTGGGGTCCATTGAAAGCGCTTGAAAAAAGACGTGCTTTTATGTTTTTCTTTTTATAATAGTAATATCAATTGGTCCTTTTTCATCTTCCCCGATAATTAATCAAGTTTATTCAGGTCCTTTTTCCTGTATATATTTCTCTTTTGCGTATCATACGTCGCATTCCGAGTCACTTGATGTTACTGAAAGAATTGATGTGCCCGTGTCGACTCGCTCTGTCATACTCGAGACACTGGTCGTTGGACTAGCTGCAGTTGATGGCGACTCCGCCGAACTGCGTGGGGTGCCGCCGGATTCTGAAAGGGACCGCATGCCATTCTGCCCTATTGCTTGATGCTGGAGCCTATAGCAGAAAAGTGAGAGAATGGTATGCCGTTAGATATAAAAGACTTAGGCCATTTTCACTGAAAAACGCGCCTCCATTTTCACGCAGCTAATTATTATGCTAGGCTATATTAATATAGTTCTTTAAAACGATATAGATAAAAATACCTAAGACAGAGAGATGAAAATCAACATTTGCTTACATGGTCAAATAAATACTACAGCTGTTGTTTTTGTGGAAAACGATTACATAAAGCATGGCCGCTACAGGATTAGCCTATGTCTATACCAAAATATGATCATATTTATCCTCGAATTTCGATTAACTTCTCATGATATCTAGTATTGATAGAATTAGTTATTGTATTCATTTGTATGTTTATATGTTCAAATTAGGTGTGATTAGTTAAAGATGTCAGTTTTAGTATGCTGCATGACCAGAACGTCATAGTTCTGTTTAACGATTTGTAATCATCCAGTCGAGTCCAATTTGTAGATTTATCCCTTAAATAATATAAATCATTTACACCAGTCAAAGTGTGTGCTTCGTTTCTGCTGCTTTCTCATTCCCTAGACCCACAGTAATATTTAGCGTTTAGGAGGAAAAATAATTTGACTAAATCACCAGAAACAACTCTCACTCTAACTAATTTACGCCATGTTATCTGTAATATAATTACGAAGTGCACTGGGAGTGAAACAAAGCCTAATAATTGGCAAGATGTCAGATATACCAAACATTAATTTGTAGCCTATATTTCTCAATGCATGAGTGTCCGCAGAATAGGTTTACAACTATTTGTATTTACAATGTCATGTTGCAAAAGTAACTGTCTAAGAATGTTTGTGATAAACTCTCTATAATTACTTTGAATATAGACGATTTGGATAGATTTTACTTTTCCAAATATAGCAACAGAGAAATGCTATTAATGCTATTTTTAGACGTAGCCTATCCATATTTGTATTGTTATTGCTAGTATCTAAACATGGGAACAACTGTTAAATTAAGATTTAAATACTTATGTCAAAAACGACAAAAATGCTACATTTTTGTCATACAATAGCTTTGCTGTGAAGAATATACACATTTGATTACATGTTGTTTTTGCTATTTCAGGTTTCATCGATGAATCATGGGAATCTTTTCCTTTGCATAATTTTTTTCACATGTTAATAAAATTGATACAGGTATGTTTGATCTACTTGCTTTTATATTCTGGTTGAGGCTTTCAAAACATCTTACACATGACAAATAAAATGTCGTCGTTCTCCCTCCCTCGTCTCTAACATTTGATTCTGTTTTTACTGCAGTACTTCCTAACTCGTGTTCACATATTTCACAACTTTTCATTTATAAAATAATACAATAATGATTAAACACTTAAAACGCAAATTTCCAAGGAAAGTTAAACATGCCTAACGTGACTGACCTGTTTTTTGCTGCTGCTGCCCTGTCTCGTTGTCTCCGGTTTTTAAACCAATTTCCGACCTGTGTAGGAGTGAGTCCAGTGGCTTGAGCCAGTTCTCTTTTCTTGCTGGGGTTTGGGTAGGGGTCCTGAAGGTACCACTCCCGTAACAGACCTCGCGTCCGCTCTTTGAAACAATGCGTCTTCTGCTCACCGTCCCAGATGGTTCTAGGCAGGGGAAACTTCTTTCGCACCCTGTACTTATCAACCGGTCCTAGGGGACGCCCGCGTAATTTCTCGGCCTCCTGATAGTGAGCCTCGAGCCACATCGCTTGTAGTTTACCATGCGAGTCCTTGGTAAACTTGTGGTTTTCCAGAATGTGATAGAGATCGCGAAAATTGCCTGTGTGAAAGGCAACAACAGCCCGGGCACGTAGGATGGATTCATGCTTGTTGATCGCCTCGCAAGCACCCGGTGCCACTGGAAGCGACCATAGGAAGCGACCCAGCCGCTCGATGTCCCCGGTCTCCTCCAGCGTCTCGCAGACGCTCGCCACTTGCTCCGGAGAGAAGTTTAGGGTCGGTAGCTGAAACATTGACAAGTCTTCGGGAGACCTGGTGCTGGGCGCACTGCTCGCCAAGACCAAAGGGCGATCAGCAAAGTTTGGCAGGAAGAAATGAGAGGGATAAAGCTCTAAAGGCGATCTGAAAACCATGGAAATGACCTGAGAGAGAATCAAATTTGCGAAGGAAAAAAGAACGACGAATTCAAATTGAATGATTCAATAGCTATCGCCTAATGACACCAGCCTCATAATATCTCCCCCTAAATCCACCGTGAGTGTAGCATTGAAATATTTTGTTTCGCTTTTCTATTGGTCTTCTTGGTGTCTATCAACCGGTCCTAGGGGACGCCCGCGTAATTTCTCGGCCTCCTGATAGTGAGCCTCGAGCCACATCGCTTGTAGTTTACCATGCGAGTCCTTGGTAAACTTGTGGTTTTCCAGAATGTGATAGAGATCGCGAAAATTGCCTGTGTGAAAGGCAACAACAGCCCGGGCACGTAGGATGGATTCATGCTTGTTGATCGCCTCGCAAGCACCCGGTGCCACTGGAAGCGACCATAGGAAGCGACCCAGCCGCTCGATGTCCCCGGTCTCCTCCAGCGTCTCGCAGACGCTCGCCACTTGCTCCGGAGAGAAGTTTAGGGTCGGTAGCTGAAACATTGACAAGTCTTCGGGAGACCTGGTGCTGGGCGCACTGCTCGCCAAGACCAAAGGGCGATCAGCAAAGTTTGGCAGGAAGAAATGAGAGGGATAAAGCTCTAAAGGCGATCTGAAAACCATGGAAATGACCTGAGAGAGAATCAAATTTGCGAAGGAAAAAAGAACGACGAATTCAAATTGAATGATTCAATAGCTATCGCCTAATGACACCAGCCTCATAATATCTCCCCCTAAATCCACCGTGAGTGTAGCATTGAAATATTTTGTTTCGCTTTTCTATTGGTCTTCTTGGTGTCGTTGTAGGGTTGTCATGGCAGCCCTGCCAATCACTGTCAAGCGTGCCAATCATTAGCCAGTACGTAGAGGCTTTCACCACTTCGGCTGCACGCACGGGGGGTTATCGGGAACTCCAATCTCAACAGCACCCTCCCTCCCTTGACTCGCGTGAAGTCGAAGCAGAGTCTCGCCTATTTGTTGAATGGAATGAGCAATTAGTGGGTGGAATATTATTGTGATCTTAACGAGGCTCGTTAAAGTTAAGAAGATATGTAGGGAGAGAAGGCAGGGGTGGGGTCTCGGGATGACAGTCACGGACATGGGAATTTAAATGAAGCGCTAAAACGGAATCTACGACAGGGTACACAGATAGGTATTTCATTCTTTAGCGCCTTGTACGAAGCTGGAGAAGATACGATGTTGCGCCGGCTCGCTTAACCCATGAACACAGTAGCCGTAAAAGCATGTACTGAATTTTATATTTCAACGGATCGTGTGTTCGCTTTGCATATCCGACGCTGAAAACTCCCGGATCGTTTTTGTACTTCGATCGCATTTCGGTACGATATGACTGCTATTCTCGCACAGTGACAACCGTTTAGCCTACTAGTGGACGGCGCATCTCTGTTGCTCCACTCATGCTACTCAGAGACCAAACACTGGCCCATTGCCCATGCATGTTGAGAAAAGCACGTGATCGTTGATGCATATTTGGTTTTATTTAATTCAACTTTTCTCTTTTTCCGTTACAACTATAGGCTATTATTCTGTGCGCTACTTAAGGTCGTTAAAATTAGAAAGCCCGTTTCCCGAGAATGAAGGACATAATATATATGTCACGAGATTGGGTTTCCAATGGCATGTTGGTATGGGTTTCGTCTTGGTCTGGGTCTGCATCAAAGAGTTTGTGCTTCATTATATTTAGACAATGCTTAGTTGGTGTTAAAAATGTAGGCTACGCGTCTACTCGATTAAGAATAATGACCATATTGATAGAGGCGTAATGAAACGCAGCATCCAGACTTTCTCTAATCTAATGCTGAAATAATTTAATGCATTCCAGAAGTGTTCAGGGATTCGGAACGTGTATGTCTCTTTCAGATATTTAATTCCATCTTTTCAAATAATTATGAATGTAAATGGGATAATACAATTTATTTGTTTTAACTTTCCTATTCCGGTTACTTATTATTAGCCTTTACACAAACGTAGTGCAAGCTCGTGTATGCTTAGCAAAATGAGGGGCGGGGAACAGATCCTAATTGATGTATTGGGTCACGTTGTGTCTCCAGGATCAAATCTGTTTGTTCTTCTGTCACAGGAAACTTAAATGAAGTAATTCCAAGAGGCACTTGAAGTGTTCCCTTTGGAAAGATTTATGGACTGGAAATAGCCTGTGTTATTTCATTGTTGACTGTATTTTTGGCCAAGATGTTTTACATTTAGAAAAGCTCTTCATTAGCCTATGTCATATAGAGGCCTTGTTCTCTAACATGATTAAAATCATTAGGCTACATTTTGGAGACATCAGTGTTTGCATGACACGGTTCAAAGATGTACTTGCAATAGTGGAAATGCCGTTAAAACAGAAAAAACCTGCCAAGTTGTCTAAATTCACTTTGTTTAACATAGCCTTTGTTTTCGTTAAGCAAGTCATTAGCATCCCCAAATAAGTTCTTTCACCTGGTTTAATCGTCTGTTTATCCCCTAGCTTTCATTGCTCTGTTCTATGCCAAAATCAGCAGGGAGCAAGGTCCTCAATACCGATGAACGTTTAGCTCCGTCTTTGTTTATTTACTGACAAAGACTATGAAAGAAGAATGTAATAGACAGTGGATTATTTCGCAGAACATAATAAATATGTGTTTCTTTAATACTTTCAGTATTTTTGAGTGAAGTGACATCAGGGGTTTGAAACTTAACGTAATTTCGGCGTTCACTGTCTCTCTGAGAGAGCCATATAACTTAAATAAAGCTAAGTGTCCTCAGGATGCCAGAGATCATTGAGAAGAGCTCGGTCGTATGAGAAGGTAAGCAAACCATTTCTTAGCTTTCTATTCAAACTTGCGCTCACTTCTTATCACACGAAAATGTGTCATCCCATACTCTTACCAATGTTGGCAACGCGGTTAACATGCATGAATAATTTTGTGCATTGTGTGGTGAGTCGGGGACTTGCAAGTGTTTGAGGAGGAAAGGGCACGGGACAATGCCTTCTCGTTAAAGGTTTTATTTCATTTTAAACACTTATTCTGTTTTTTTTTCTTCACATTCACTTAGGTCATAACACATTGCCAAACAGGAAATCGATCTTCAGGTGACGGCTGCAGAAACACAGAGTTCTATCAAGAGACATCTTCTCGGAAGCGGTGTGGTTTGAGTCTTTCAGTTTTTTCTCTTTTCTTAAACTAACTAATGGGTTGTAAAACTGGACGTGGTTCCATCGATTTCGATTCATTGCTCACTCTTTTTTTTCCTTTTATGTCACGTCTCTTTCTTGTCTGTCTTTCCCGCTATGTTTTCCCTGGTTTCATCCAGTTATAAATTAGGCTATTATGATATGTTTCTGGTGCTATACCGCAACAGTTCCATCCAAAATGGACTTGATTTAAATGTGGCCATGAGGTCTGTGTTGTTTGTACAAGAGTGGACATCTTTTCATCATTTGAATCGTATTACTTATTTTTAAAATAGCTAATTGTTCCGAGAGACTCACCAGAGAGTTGGTCAAGTTTTTAAGAGTGTTTAGGGCTTCGTAAAAGACACCAAGATGCAGTTCACAAGGCGAAGGCGGTAGAACAAACAAAAAGCATCGTTCAATACCAATTAAAGCCATGCATATTCCCAGATTATCGCTTGTGAAGTTGTCATCCTCTGCCGGGACGTTGCTCTCACTCCGTGAATCATGCGAGACAAATGCAGCTTGCAGCGTTGTGGGGCCGTCGTGACGGGGCGCAAATGCCCGTTTCTATTCTCTTCTTAGGGTCTTAACCTCGGCTGTATTTTGAATCCGCGTGGCTTGTTAAATGCAGGCAGCACAATGGATTCGTTTTATTACTTCTGCCTATATGATGTGACACCTAATTATGTAGGTAGCCAATATACCATATTTTTGGGAAAAATTTTTTTAGAATGACAAATGTTTGATATGTGATATTTGTAAAAGGAAATTGGGTCATTTTATAATTTTGTTATATGTTGATCATCGAACTCACTCTTTGAAATTCTCTATATGATTGATTTGAGCATTAATTTTTAAAATCATTTAGCCTATCTGCTATAGTATAAATAATTTTTAGTTAGGCTATTAGTTATGAGTCCCTGCAACCTCAATGATAAGTTACTTTTTCTTTTTTTGGCTGGGGGAGGGAGGCGATATGCGAGCACCATTTTCAACAGAGATGCACCCCCCCCCCCCCCCCCTTTTTTTTGGGCCCAAAAAGGTTCATAGTTGTACCTTCAGAGTAAGGCTAAGGTACTAATATGCGCCTTTAGGGTAAATAAGGTAAAAGGTTGTCCCAGTGGCATTTTCTGACAGTGTATCCTAAAGATCATAATATCATTTTGACCACTAATGATTAAAAAAGGCATTTACCAACCACACTCTCAGAAAAAAAGGTACAAAAGTTGTCACTTGGGCGGTACCTTTTCAAAAGGCACACCTTTGTACCTAAAGAGGGAGGCGATATGCGAGCGCCATTTTCAACAGGGAGGCGCCCCCCCCCCCTCCCTTTTTTGTGTGGTCTCATTAAGTGGGCATCCTGCTAGGTCTGCGGAGTTATACGGGAGCTGTCCAATCACTGCATTTGCACGGCTTGTTAGTGACATTTAATGAGGGTTCTCTGCGAACCAAGTGAATGGCGCTTCAATGTTAGATTTACCTTGTGTCAACTCGTTACTTCTAATGAAGCCATTGGAGGTTTCCCTTGTGAATGGAGCCGGACGCCTGGAACTGCAGGCCCTCTTTCTTCCGGTTTCTCTTAGAGCTCTGGCTTGGCCCAAATCCATAGTGTGTGGTGTGGGTGGTGAGGACGTGCACTGTATTTTGGGGGGTCGAGCGGAGTAACGGGGATATTCATAAATAGATAGCTACATTGTATCCATTCTATTGTGCGTTAAGTGATTATGTTGATTTTTGGACCTTATTCGGGATCAACGTCTTATGCACGTGATAAGCGAACTCAGTTCCCACCTCGATAAATTTAAATGTAGCCTACAACCACAAACATACAACGCACTTCTCTAAAATCCACCACTACAATCACATGTTCCACTGTTTTGACATTTAGGGATATTTTTGTGTTTAAAAGGGACTAAAGGAGTATAATCAGTTACTCAAAATAATAAAGTAATAGTGATGATTATTATATAGAATATGTACAGTATGACGACTGTATGAAATTAATTTCTTTTTGTATGAACCCTTTGAATGTATTTTTAGAAAATCGTCTGCATAAAGAGTTTGCATGGTCAGACTAACTTGAGCCATTTTAACCCCAATTAGGCTATGTTAGGTGTATGATGTTTATGATCTGTACCGTTTTCATTAACAAATAAAATATTTGTAATAATTAAAATAAACAATAGACTAAGCAAAATAGTTTAAAACTTCAGAGAAGCATGTCGATATGTAGGCTACATCGATTTAGGATAATATTTACAAAAAAAATAAATAATAGACCATAGGAATTCGACGTGGTTAAATTAGATTTTTGTTTGCTACATCATGTTATAATTTAATCAGGTGGGGTTGTTTTGTCAATCTTGCAGGTGCAAAATGACACGACATAGCCTAACCATTGAGGCTGCTGTCATAACGACCCGGGGCAACCCAACAAAAATTCATAAAGGCTGGCAATCTGTCACTTTGCATTTACGAGGAGTTTTCTATTAGTGGTTTTAAATAGGCAGAAAGTGAAACACGGATCTGCGCCTAGTAAAACAACTCAAACTGGAGCAAATCGTCAACATAGGCGAATTATTAGCGCCTCAGTTGAGCTACTGCTGAAAGGGCAGACCCATTCATGAATTTTGCTCAGTCTCTTCGTCCATCCCCCCTTAGTCATTCATGTTATATTATGATTCATTTAAGAGATGTTAGAAAAATGAGACTCGGGTGTATAGGTG